TGCCGAGTGTTCAGTAAGCACCCTTCCTCTGACTGGTTGAACTCAAATGTCTGAGTTTTGGTTCTGTGCAACTTACAGCCCCCTAGTAGTTCTTTGCTTGACCTCATGGAGTTTCATCCTATGAGTGTGCAGTTTAGTATTCAGAAGAAGTGTCTGTGGACTCCTGTGCGGATTTCTGGAGCTCTGTCTCTTCCTCTTCTACAGTTGACTGCCCCTCAAGTTCGTGTTGTTTCAGCCTCTTTCAAGTCTGATCTTTTTCTCCTTGTCTCTGTGTCCGGGTCTTATAAAAATGCCTTGAGGGGAAAATCCCAGTAATGGCATTGCTCACCTTGTTACTTTTCTTCTCTTAGAGATCATAGTCCTATGTTGCCTGTTGTCCAATTTCTGAAAATAGTTTCACATATTTTGTCCAGTTTTCTAGTTATTTATGGCTAGTGGGCTTAGTTTGGTGGACTTGTCTATGATTCTGCATTAAACAGAAAGATTCTTTTCAGGCTTCCAAATACCAGCCCTTCAGAATATAACTGCCATGCTTCTCCTGAAGCTTACTTTTTCCAGGATGAAATGCTCCCATTTTATGCAAAGGATATATGATGAAGTTTTGTTTATTTTACCAATCTGGTTCTTTTCTTTCACACATGTTCTAATATTCTTTTGTTTACTCTGTGTATTATAGCATTGATTTATAACCACAAAGATATTTCTGTTTCTTTACTGAGTCACCAAATCTGGTGTGTTGATATGTGCGAATAAGACAACTATGTAACTAGATGTAAATAAATAACAACAAATATGTATCCAGGTGGTTATTACCAATTTAGGACTATCCTGTGTGAGTAGCCCTTCTGTTCTGAAAGATGATAACTTTTTTGGAAGAGATTCTATTCATGCTCTGACCTCTATTCTTGAAATGTATTAAGCTCTATATAAATACAGTGGTCACTACAAAATTTTACTTTTACATTTTTGCTTAGATTCCAGCATGCCATGGGGGGAGTACCTGCCTGGGCAGAAACCAATAAGCGGAAAGCATCTTCAGATGGTGAGTGTTGATACTTCTGTTTAAGTTGGTAAATAGATTCCTATTCCTGTTCTGTTATTGTTTGAGGTTTCTCACGAGGCTTGTTAAAACCTGGTGTTTGACATACGTCTTTTTTTTTTTTTTTAATGTCTGGTTTTAAAGTCTACCATTTCTCTGAAGGAAGCTCTTTTACAATAGTGTAAGAGGTACTTAGTAGCATATTCTTTACTTGTAGAGACAATAATGGATGGATTTTATGATGTTTTTCCTCAACAGAACTATGTTACATTATGGCATAGATTAAGTAAAAAATAAGTAGTAGTGTTATTTCTTGATTCAGAGCCCCTTCCAAAGACATGAGCAGCTGATCTAGCTATCCACTAGGAAATGGAATGTCTTTGTAAGGAGCACATGTCAGGTTAGGCCCAGATGATTATTCACTTTCTAAAAACCTATTTTTCAACTGCAGATTTTAAGTTTGACTTGTACCAAAACTGTTTTCTGCTGTTTAGATCTTTGAGTTTAGATATTATTTATATGGATGGTTTGGCCAAGATCTGATTTGAGTTCTTGGAGTTATAAATTTTAGACTTGGAATTGACTTCTGAAATCCTTGAGGAACTCGAGAGTATATCCTCCCATTGTAATACAGGAGCTCCTTTCTTAGCATCTTTGGTATCTGATGAACCTCTGTTTGATTATCATCATCACCTCTCCCTCCCTTCTCCCCACCCATGTCAGTCTTCATGGTATTCACGTATAGGGAGCCCTTACAAGGAGCCAGTTTTATATAATTCTGTTAGAAAACTCAATCTGTTATTAAGTAGAAACTTACCTTCTGGTTTCCAACCAGATACTTTTAGAGGTTGAAGGACTCTTAGTGATGTAGCCCGACTTTATCTGCTGCAAGAAACTTCTCTACAACATCTGTTAGATGATAATTTAGCCTCTGCTTAAATATTTCAAATAATGTTGTGCTCTTTATTAGACTATTTCTTTCTCTTTTCTTCTTTTCTTTAAGAACTAATTGTAATTTTTTTAATATTGAAATTTAGCCTCCCTACCCTGTAGTCCTACCTTTCAAAGAGATATAATCTTATCTCTCTTTCATATAAAACTCTTCTGTTATTTGAGAAATATCTTTCCAGGTTTTTTTAAATATGTTAATCATGTTGTCCTGTCACTGTTTTTTTTTTTTGGCCGCCCCACGCAGCATGTGGGATCCTAGTTCCCAGGCCAGGGATCAAACCCATGCCCACTGCATTAGGAGCGTGGAGTCTTAACCACTGGACCACCAGGGAAGTCCCATCCTGTCACTTTTTTTTACATGGCATAATTATAAACCTCAGTCATCAGTTTACCTTCCTGCATGAAATATAATTTTATTATCCATTTTAGAATATTGCATTCATAGAACTACAGCAGTTTAGATATAGATTAGGTTTATGCTGACATTGAAGCAGAAAATCTCCCAGATCCCAGTGGCTTAATCCAGTAGAATTTTTTTTTTTCCTATGAGTACAATTGAGGTGGTGAGAATGTGATGCTCTACTTAAGGGACCCAAGTTTATAGACATTCTGCCATCTTCAGGCTGTCTATTCCAATGTTGCCTAGGATACTGACCACCAGTTGACTTATAGGAGAAGAGAGAGAACTCACCAAGGGAAGTTTTTATTGTCCTGTCCTGGAAGTGGTACGTGATACTTTCACCTACATTTTATTGGCCAGAACTCAGTCGTGAGGCCACACTAACTGCATGCAATACTAGGAAATATAGTTTGTCTTTGTGCCCAGGAGAAAAAGGAAATGAATTAGGTCAGCAGTTAGCCAGTCTGTTACTATCTGGGATATCCAAGTCTAATACCTTAATTGTACATATGACAGTAGTAAAGTTCAAAACGATAGAAGTGACTTGTCCAAGGTATACTTATTGGCAGAGTGGTGACTACAACCCAGCTTCACAGTTATATCCAACATATTATTTGTTTTTAATCTGTAAATACTAGATTATCTTTTTTTTTTTTTCCTGAATTACCTTTTTTTTTTTTCCCCACTGGCCCACTGGCATGCAGGTTCCCTGACCAGGGATTGAACCTGTGCCCCCTACAGTGGAAGCACGGAGTCTTAACCACTGGACCACCAGGGAAGTCCCTAGATTGAGCATCTTTAAAAGAGAAGTACTCCCCCCTTTAAACATAGCTATAATGCTATTATCATACACCTTCAGAAATCAGTAGTAATTCCTTAATATTATGGAGTTTAATTGTTGCTGTTTTGTCAATTTATTCACCACTACCTCCACCCCCCAAGTCCCCTGCCGCAGTTTTCCAGTTTTTTTAGCTTGCTTTGTATTCTGCTTGGTCTTCATAGGTGCTGTTGAATCTGGCTACATGTCTTTTCTAAGTTTTGGAAATTCTTGCCTGTTATCTCTTCACACATTGTTTTTGTTCCATTCTTTCTTTCCTTCTGGGATACCAATTATGTGTATGTTAAAAAAATTTTTTAAGACATTCTGTGTTCTTTTCTGATAAGATTAGGTGCATTCAGGGTGGTATGGCTATAGACTGTGTTCATTTCTGTATTTTCTGTCTTTCTGCTTTCTGTACTTTAGTCTGGATATTTTTTTCTGATCCTTGTTCCAGACCACTAATTCTCTCTTCAGGTAATTTTGATATCCTGTTAACACCATCCATTGTGGTGTTAGTTTTAATTACTGTTTTTCAGTTCTAGAATTTCCATTTGGTTCTTTTTTTTTAATAGTCTAGTTCTCTGGCTTAATTCTGAGTCTTGCCTTTCGTTATCTCTAATATGTTAAACATAATTTTTTTATTTTATTTATTTTTTATTATTATTTTTCCTTCCAGTTTTTTTTTTTTTTTTTTTTTTTTTGGGGTGCGCAGGCCTCTCACTGCTGTGGCCTCTCCCGTTGCGGAGCACAGGCTCCGGACGCGCAGGCTCAGCGGCCATGGC